TTAAGTGTTAAAATATTTAAAGAAATATAGTTTGGCCAATTTTCCTATAAATGATACACAGGTTTATGCTAATATTCATCGGATATACCTAAATTATTTTTATAATATTTAAAAAATGGCAAATGCTGTTTCTGCAAATGGCAAATGCTGTTTCTGCAAATTTATAAAAATAATTTTTTTCGGTGTACCAATGCCATGACGCGCACTTTGCGTTATTTGGTAAAACGAGATTGTTGATAACGTGCAACCAACAACAGAAACAACGAACTATAAAAAACTCGCGGTACATAAAAAACGAATTTCTGCCTTGTTTTTATCCACCCCCACTACTTCCTCCATCCTTTGCCCAGCCTATTTTGCCACCCCCCTGTTTTTTTCGCTGTGTATTTTATTGTTAATGGGCAGCATTTGCTTTTCGATTCGATTTTTTTTCGGAATTTTTACCTTTGGTTGTACATTTGTTGCTAACAGACTTTTTTCGGCCAGGATCAAAAACTTTGGGAAAGCAGGGGGGGTAATACTATATGGAATCGAATTTGGAAGGGGGTTCAATATTGCTATCTAAGAAGTAGTGCTAATGGTTAAAGCAGCCGGCTTTTGTGTCGTTAGGAATGAAAAAGAAAAAAAAAGCATTTGGAAAAAGTTAGCTAATAATGTTGTATTCTGGGTTTCATTTAATATGATATTTTAATCTGTATTTTGCATTCTTAGCGGAATTTGGATTTTTATTATTTGATATCGGTGAAATGGATATGAAAAATAAAATAAAAACGTATTTCTATACAGCTAAAAATACTTTCTGTTTGTTTTAAAAATTGGTATAAAGTAGATACTCGAAAACTAAAAAAAATTTTGAATTTTACATATTATTAAAATCGCAAATAAAAACAAATTCTCAACGAAGCGTTTCAATGATACACAATTCATATGCAGATCGATCCACGATGTCGATTGTACATATTTACCAGAGCTTTAACTACTTTGCTTATCCAGCCAATAATATACATTGGTCTCATTAGGATTGGGCAATACAAATATTCAATAATGCTTAAGCTCATTAGGAATCGATTGGATGGAAGTCCGACTCATGGGGAACATTGTATAAATTATAGCTGCAGAGGAAATGTGGAACCACCTCCAGCAAAGTTGATGGCAGGTGCCAACTTATCTGTGTAATATGACAAATTGCCCCTCCTTGCAAGTCATTACAATTCTGCTTAGTAATGCTCAAGCTATGGCATTTGAAACTAAAATGTATAGAGCCCAATCCCAACCCCCAAGGCAGGAAAAAAGAAACAATTAAAAACACGCAACTTGTCCATTTCTAGGGAAAAAGCGCGTGAAATTTCGACGCGTTTTGGGCCAAAAGCGAATATGGCTATGACGATTATGTAAATGATTGATTTGGAGTTGGAGCGGGTTAGGCTGTACTTACTAGCTCTCGGTGACTGGGGGTTGGTTAGGGGTGGCTAACTTGCCCGATGCGGTTCAGCGATTTCACGGTACGGCACCGCGTTCGGAATAAACAAACATAATGCTCGTAATATCCTTATAATGGCACCAGCAACTCTCCGGGGCGATTATTATTGCTATTACTGGCTCATTTTTTTAGTGTGGGAACCTTTGCTGGTGGCTATTAAAATTTATTTGGATTTTCCTCGGCCACATGAGGCTACTAATTGCCCCGCCTTCGTCGCCTTAGATCCCCAATTTGGCAAGTCCTTTCTGTCCATTCTCAGTCCTGCATGCAATTGCCTGGCGCCACGTGTCAGCGGGGCATGGAGGCGCCGAAAAGGGCGTTATTTGTGGGGGGTGCTGTCTAGCGTTGCATGTGTCGCATACTCGTATATGGAAATTTCTTAATGACAGGGGAGAACTCGGCACCCAAGTTCATTGTAGTCGAGTTCAGTGCTCAAGCAATGATTGAGTTTTATTGTTGATTGTTGAGCAGAGATTGCAGGTCAGCCATACAGGGTTAGTTGTTAGTGGCCATAGTGGGTGTCCTGGTAAAAGCGACACGAATGAAAACTCACTTGGGACAGAATTATAACCTAATATAGTAAATGATAAATAAAATTGTATTCTTATTTCTACAACTTTACTTATACAATTTTGATTGGCATTTATAAAAAAAGTCTTGGAAAAACTGTGAGGTTTTGTTTATAACTTTAATGTTATTTTTTCAATATACAGAAATTACAAATTATTAATATTAATAATGCTAATTAAAAAAAGAAATATTTTAGGGTGTAATTATTTTAGAATCGGATGTCTATATCAGCGGTCGGCACACACATTCGTTGATATTTTCTTTTATATTTGTGTGACTAATTTGCACTGGGCAGCTCATCGATATGTGTGTGCAGACCGCTGTTGCTGCAGTGTACGTGAGCGAGCAGCGGCTGGGCAGAACAAAACCCTATGCTCACTTAATAGGAAGCTGCCGTCCGCTAATCTATATGTATATTAAGTATGCAGAATTTTTGTCTTTTTCATAAGTATTTTATTTATCAATTAATATAAAGACTTTTGAACTCCAATAATAACACAATACTTTCTTTAAATTATATTATGTAAATTAGAATACTTTTTGTATCACCAGTTGCTAACGTTTTTGCATTTTTTAAATATTTTTTTAAACTAAAATGGTTATACTTTTGTTTATTATTTCTATACTCTGTGAGTATCTCTTATTTTTCATCTGGGATTATAAGATCCAATCGATCTATCATACCATTTAAACATTCAGCATCAGCTGTTTTCTGGCATTGTTTCCTTCTTAGGGCCTAACACACATGTTCTCATCCACAGACTGACCCTGACATAAATATTTCCTAAGATCAATTCACATATGTTCGATCCATTCCACACCCTCCACAAATTGTAACGTATTTTACCGCCACAGAAACAAATATAATTCGTTTGCATCGAGTCCTAAAGAGGGGATATTGTTACCTTTTGGGCCGCTTACTCGCAAAGGTACAAAATAATTACAAGTGGCAACCGGCAGACGACAAACGGCCAACTGCATCCAGGTAGAACTTGGCCCCTTCCTCAGGGTCTTGCCTTTACTTTTACCTTTACCGCGTGCCATCATCGCCGGCTGCTGCTGCAGGTGCAGAAGTCAACGAAGCGAGTCCCGATCAACTCAAACTCGTACAGAGAGATAAATACTTACTTTCGAGCTATCATACATCTTACAAGTTCCTTTTATTTAAGATGTTTTATAATTAAAATAAATTTAAGTTATTGGCAATAATATAACAATTTCAACTTTTTGTTAGAGTTCCATATTATATTTATAAAATTATAAAAATACTATTTTTTTAATTCAGTATCTTTTCTTAAAACGAAATAATTAAAAATAATAAATAATTTAGATTAAGTAACAGATATTAATATTTAAATTTTTACAGTGTACCCACACACATTCTGAGGGCCAAAAGACAGTTGCATTTCGTGCTGAAGGCGGAAGGAAGCTGTTGCGCGGGTCAAAACACTTGTCCTCGTTCGCTGGTTCCGAGTTTGAACCTTTTGCTCGAACCTGTTTGCGGGTTTATCTGGCAAGGGACGGCTCTGAGATCTGGCCAACAGTCAGTTCCAATAAGTACACAGAAAGAATGGTAAAATATGTGTACCTTTTGTAAGAAACAATAGCGAAATAACAATAATGATTTGAAGCTTAATTATTTTATATTTAGTTACGGATAGATTTTAAATATATTATAAATATGCGTATTTCCTCAAATAATATTTCACATTTGTATGTTTCTTATTGATCGAGGAATAGTTTTTAAAATATCCAAGACGGATTTTGGTTTTGTAATATCATAGCACACTAAAGTAAACCATTTCTTTAGTAATCTTTTGGGATTGTTTGTGGACTATTGATTTTGTGGAATATTTTCTTCAGTGCAGAAGCAGTTGTAGCCCCAGTGCATTCAGTTGTCATTCTTTGGGCAGGTTGTTTCTCATGTGTGGTGCTCAATTTTAGGGGTTGTCCCGTCTTAACGGCAACTGCGACTGCGTCTGTGACTCGTGTGCATTGACCTGAAAACTCAGCGCGCCTTTTGCGATATTTATGCCTTGTTGTTGTACAAAGTATTTACAATTTATCCATTTATCCAGTGAAATAAATGAGAATCTGAAAGAATTCTTACATGATTACAGCTATGGTGACTAGGAAACATTTATTTGAAGACTCCTTTATTTTTTAGTTTTATTTGTAATTTATTTTTTTTTTCCAGTCCTAACATCCCAACCCATTAAAAACACCTGATTGTTTCAAATTTATTTTATAATTGTTTTTCATTTTCTGATTGAGACGATCTTTATTAATGCGAAGCTGTTTTGTTTATTAGTTTTCTGGTTTTGTTCGTTTGTTGTTTTCCAATTTATAGTTTTTTTTCAAATATTTTCTTGTTTAAGACTAATTTTTGACTTGGTTTATGTACTTGGTGTATTTACATGATGTTCGTTTGGGAATGCAATGTTAATAAATTGGGTTTTATTATGCTCAAGGTTGTGCATTATAAAAAAGTTTTAATTATAATTATTACGTTTCGTAGCATTGTGGAGATTTTGGTTTTTGTAATTGATCTTTAAGAAATCTACTCGTATGTGAAATAAATTGGACAACACAAATTGCCCCAATGGCTCAACATGTTTTTCTTTTTTTTACTTTTTTATATATATTTTTTTAAACAAATCTCTAGCAAACAGTTCAGTTTGACTGGCATAGGTTTAGCAAATATTATTTGTAAAGAAATTAGTTTAAAGTTATTCGATAAAATGATTTGACTACTAACTATCTTCATTTATTACTATTTACATTCCGTTCATAGCATTTATAAATTATAAAGCTTGTGTATTCAGAATTTAAAACGTTTTTCATTTTGCATTAAACACCCATTTAATATGAGTATATCAACAGTTTTTCTTAATTCATTTGAAATATCTTGTTTTTCATATATTAATTTTCTCTTTTTCTAAATTCATTAATGCTTTTTTTAAGTGTGAACTTTTATGGCTTTGTTTTAAATCTATTTCATTTAAATACATTTTTATAATGTTACTGGTCTTTGGTTTAGCTTCTACTTTGTTTTATCAGCAGTTTAGCTTGTGAGGAGTTGAAAACAATGCCGAACTGAATTCGTTATAGGGCACATATGTAGGTCGGGTTCCCATCCATAACAACTCAAACTGTGTTTCGCTTGAAACCATCTAAGCAATCAATTAGTTTTTAATTCTCATAAGGAAGGCACCATCACCCAAATAGATTGCTAACTAACATTTAACAGAGTTATATGGTTAAGCTGTTAAAAAAACAAATAGTTTCTAAGGGTCCATCTTCATCGTATTTTATTTGTACATTCCGTATATTGGCCACATATTCAGCAAATTGCACTCACATTTCTTACCCTTCACTATTTCTCCGCAACAAAAATATTTATCATTGGACGCGATGAATTTGGAGTAAATTTTTCTGTGTGTTTTGTGTTCTATATAAGCAGCTAATTATACAAAAGGATTCAAAATTATTCGGCTTTGCTTGTTTGAAAGTTCACTTAGCATTTCCCTTTCATCTAATTAACTTTTTCGTTTTTGTAAATTGCAAAAAGATTGTCCTTGTCTTTGTTTTTTCATATCTTCTTTTATTTTTTAGTTGTTGTTTAGTTATATATATTTTTCGTTAAATGAGAAATAATTGCGAAGAACTTGCAAAATGGCGAAAAGAAAATTTCCCAAAAATCTACAAATCTCTAAATTCAAAAAATTTATTTATTTGCAAAAAGCATTTTGTGTATACGCATATTGTGTTCTATAAAGGTAATATTGTTTAAACAATTGGTAATCGTGGCCCTCAATAACCTGCTCTCAATTAATTTTAATAAAATTTCGTATGCAAAGGTTCGTTTAGATTTATGTTTCTTCTTTTGTGTTGTTTATCACAAGGTTTAAATTTGGTTTAGGTTTAAGTTTGTTTGAATTAGTTCGTGCTTCATTGGGGTTTTAAATATGTAATTTGTCCCACAATCTTTTGCAGAGCGTTCGTCGACATACATTGTATCTAAAATACTTGGGTGTTAGTTTTGTGAGTTTATAGTTGGGTTGGCATATGCTTTATAGCTACTTATGAGAGTTTTATAAAGTTTCTTGTCAAATATTTTTGTAAATATTTTAGTTAGCTTTCATTTATGTTTCTTCTATGAGCTTTGATATGTATTTTAATAAAAGTTGTTAGGCAATTCCTGCTGCTACTTAAAAAGGCGTTGATCGATTAAATAAAATGAATCTCTGAAAATGACCGACATTTTTTTGAAAACTATTTTTTTTTAAACCAAAATATTTTGTGTGTTTTCATTTCACCTGGATTTTTTTTAGGAAAGCTTTTACTGTGGTCTACTTTGCGGCGGTTTCATTTCTTTGAATTTATGTGATGCAATAAGATCAAACTCTGCTTTATTAATCGAACATTTATTGAAAAATAAACGGAATTTAACTAAACATTTAAATTAATATTATATACAGTATATCATGTATAACGTAAAAATCTGTGTGATGATTAACAATTTGTGTGTTCTGTTTGTTTACTCTTTGACATATGCGGAGGCATTTCAACTTATTGAGTTGATTGGAACAAAACGTGGGTTTAATTTCATAATATTTGACTAGAGCTGTTTGTAAATATATAACATCTATGTATATGTGTATAAACAGGTTTGCATCATTCGACTACTCAAATAGGTTAAGCCTTAAAGCTGTTTGGTTTGCGTTTCATATTTTATAATTATAGGCTAGGTCTTTTTATCTTCTTGGATCGTGTTTTTTGGTACTTTCAGCATAAATTTCTTTGCTTAATAAATTGTTGAAATATTATATATTACAATTGCTAGACAGTGTTTTTTGGTTGGTATAATTAACTAATGCATTTTCGAGCATATGCAAAAATTTGCAAATTTAATTTAAGGTTCTTTTTTTTTTGGTTTGTTTCTACTATTTTTAAAAAAGGCAGTCGAAAATGTTTCTTTCGTATGTTTGCTCATTTGCATAAATTTAACTTTCGTAAATATTAATTATTAACAACTTATTCATTTCGTTTTTCCCCGTTAACAACTCAGTTTAAACTAATTTTTTCATTTTGACGTTTTTATCACTGGTTTTGTCATGTTGTTGCCATTTAAATAATCGTTAATGAATAATTAGATGTACTTTGTGTTTCCCTTTGTTACATTAAAATTAGATGACTTTGCAAGGCTCTAGAACGTAGCAAACGAGTTTTCATGTCGGTCTGCATGTTTTCCTACAAATTACTTTACGAATAATGCATTCTCTCGGCATTCGAGTCTGCTTTTCTGGCATTGCTTCGGCAATTTAGCGTGTTCAAGTATCTATATATGTATGTTTATGCATTATTTTTATTGTTTTATGCTTAGTTTTACGAAAATCCTTTATAGTGTACAAAGAAGAATATCAGAAAAATGGCATAAGCAGTTGGAAATGTAATTCTTGCGATGACATCGATCGTCTTGGCCACTCGAATCGGATGGGGTGGCTCTTTTTTCCGCACTTGAACGAAGCAGGTCTGAAAAAGAGATAAAAAGCTGTAGGTATTTATCCAAAAGGGGTCTGAAAATAAGTTTCTCCTTAGGAACTCTAATTTTATATCCTTTAATTTTTAACTTTTGAACTTTTCACAGAAACTCATTTTCAGGTATCATTTTTAGGGATATAGTTTTTAGGATAGGCTCACCTCCGTGGCACAGCCATTATTCGCTGAATGGGTGCACGGACTGTTGCTGCCCCCGCAGGTGGTGCATGCCACGATTTCGTTCGGGGCTCCGGCGTCTCGTCGCTTCTCGCCCTGATAGACGGCGGTAAATTTAAAAAACTTATTCGTTAATTTTCATTTGACCATGGTGGTGGTTGGCAAACAAGTTGGCAATTTTACAAGTCAAATACAATTGGTGAAAAAGGAGTTATTTACACATACATACACACACATACGCATAAGAAAAAAAAACGTAAAATTGGTTTGGCAGTTGCAGTTTGGTTATATTTCGGTTGTTTGCATTTCGTTTTTGCAAAAACCCAGCAAAAAGCGTATAAGTATGTTAAAAATATATGAAAAAAAGGTAGAAAAATATTATATTTATTAAAGTTCATTAAACAAGTGGCACAAAAATGTAAATATAAATTGAACGCTACGAAATTTATCACAAAAGCGCTTGAAATGCTTTTACAAATTGAACTACAGAAATAATTTTCAAAAATAATTATTATTGTTAGGTCAGCATACTTACGGGCTTTTAAATGTTTATTTTATTTTATTTTATTGTATTTATGTCAGTGGCAGCAGTTGAAAAAGCAAGAAAGAGCAAATACGATTTTAGTACATGGTAGTCTATTTATAACCACAGCGCAATTTAATTGAATTTATTGAAATTTTACTAAATTTTGTTTGCACGTACAGTATTTAATTCATTTGTTATTTTTGTTTAAGCTATAGCAGTTTGTATAGAATTTGTATTTTGATTGATATGAGAATGGCATGAGAATTTTGCTGTGTTTTTATTTTAAGTAGGTTTAAATTAAAATTGACACAAATGTGATGAGAATTTAAATTTCAAATTTAAATAAAACTCCAAACGTAGTATCGAACGCTTAATAAATGTTAAAGTTTTTGTTATAGAATGTCGAATCGTGTTTATTGTAGGTTTAGTGTGATGTAGGATGATTATTGGGGGTGGCATTCTTCTATTTATGATTGCGAATATATTTAATGATTGACTATGAACACATACAAGGTAAGTTAAGGTAAATATCTGTTGATTTTAGTGCACTTTATTGTGTGGATTCAAGCGTGCTCTATACGGGATATAACTAGGCAGATGTGTTGGGGTAAAAACCAAGCTAGTAGCTTTAAAACTGGTACACTATATACAGGCTGTTTACTATACAAGCACATATTGAAAAATGAACCACAGTTGTGAAACAGTTATATTTTACAATACAAGTTGGACTCTATTAATAATTATTTTAAGCTTTAAACATCACACTCTGCGCTGAAATTTAATGTGTTTCAGCTGAATACATATTTAATTGCATAACTGCTGCCTGAATTCCTGCACTGTTTCACGGAAATTGTGGGCTTAATTAACATCAAAAATTTGTGAGAGGTATATAAATAGTCCAATGGGTCGTAGGTGGCAGGCTAAGAAATTAACTGCGTCCGCTCGCAAGTATGCTACAATTTATTGCAGCTACAGTGGCACGTACTACCCGAAGTTGCATCTGAAAACGGCAACGAACCAGGGGAAAAATCATGGGGATTTTCCGGGGGGTTGGAGATGGCTGGATGGGCGGTTTTCGGGGGCGTTGGGCTGGCAGCTGACTTGTCTTTGTTTGCCAGCAGCTGGCGGCCATTTGCCGAGTGCACAAATGCAGCCAAAGGTGGCCGAAGGGGTTGCGAAAATGGAAAAGCCGGGAGAATAGGAAAATGGCAAAAACGGGCTGGGAGGATGAGGAAACAGTTACTTAGGTAAGATGTATTATGCGGGTGTGTTTAAGCAGCCAGAGAGCCGGATAACGTGGCTGACCTAAATTAAACACGGTAGCTGTGCCAGAACTTTGCTGCTCGTTAATTTCTTCAAAATCAACAAGGCATTTTTAATGACCATTGCTTCAAGAGCTGTGTAAAAATGTGTTGCAATTGAATACTGATTAGATATAAATACAGATTTTTAATATTTCTAATGTTTAAAAGGGAATTTAATTTTGTTTAATATATATTTAGTTTTGTTCATTTCTTTTAATCTATCTTTAAGGATTTAAATATTGTACAATACAAAAATATTTTAAGCAAAAAGAGTTCTCACTTATTTTACGTTAAGTGATCCCTAAGATGCTTATTAAGCCATTTAATTTTATTAACACAATACTGTGAGTAAAAGTTGAAAAATGTATGACAAGCGAAGATTTATATGCCCAGTGCAATTAGCATGGGGGGAAAAGTGTGAAGTGTATCTTCCCTCGTGAATTTTTTCAACTTTCCGAATTTTCCGTATTTGCATAAGACTCCCGGAGGGGAGGGTGCTGCTTTAAAATGCCAGGCTCAAACTTTTCCGCTGGAAAATCCTTGCGCATCCTTTCGAGAACATTTTCGGCTATTATGATGCATGTACCAACGCGTTCTGTTTTCATTTTCGCTTTCGTTTCGTTTTCTTTCTCCGATTCGGCCGCATCCTTCGCCGCCATTTGTTTGTGTTCCACTCTCGTGTCGTTGGTTTTTCCGGTGCTCTCGGGCTCATTACGGCATTTTCCACTTTGGGGCGCTCATGAATAATTATGTTGTCCTGTTGCGGCCCAGTCATCCCGTTGTCCACCTGGCCGGGCGCCAATTTAAACGCGTACACCATTTTTAATTTACATGCTAATGGTGGAAAACATTTTCCCAGCCACCTTGTTGTTGACGGTTTTCCGCTTCTGGCCGGGGCTGCCTGCAACTCCTTCATGGTCTGCGTATCCTGGCGCTCTGGTTCTGTCGGAAGTGGTCGTCAGCGTTTCACAATTTCCCATAAAATAGTTTTGCCTGGAACACGGTCTTTCATCACGCCCACTTGAGTTGGTTTTATTTGCCTTTTGTCGGCTGCATTCGTATCTTGATAGCGGCTCTCCTTTTTCATTCCGATAAGTTTGATTTACTTGGGGACTTTTTGGGGGGAAAAGGGAGTTTAGTGATTTATGCGCTGGAAATTGGTTGCAAATCTTAAGGGCGAAAAGTTGAGTTTTAGGGCTTACGCCACCTTGATATCTTCAAGATATCTTAAGTTTTCACGTTAACCCATGTGGAACTAGGAACATTTATGCAGGATACTATAAAAAACATCCTATATTAATTGTTTGCCATAACTGGAATATTATTTTTTGAAAATATTACATCATTTTTAAATTAAAAATTATGTAATATTTTCAGAAATTCTGATGCCCGGATTCGAATAAGAAATCTACTCTAATTTTATCTTTATGTGATTTATGTTTATAACGTTAAAAGCTTAAACCATTATACCGATAAAACCCCTTAAAGCGCAATTATCTTCTTGAGTGACCTAATGAATAAATCACTTAGGTTAGGGGTAATTAGTTAAGAAAACATCTTCATTGCTTGCTTTCGATTTTCCAAGACAACTTTGCCTCGATTTAAGCCCTAATTGCTTAACCTTCTGTTTCCTCTGGCTGCCAATTCCTCATGTCTAATGCAGTTACTCTTGTAAGTCATTGTTAGTCTTTCATTTAAAGTTCAATTGCAAGTTTTGGGAAAAATCCAACTTTGAGTGTGCGTGTTTGAGGGTGTTTGGGTGCATTTGTGGGTGTTTTTTTCTTTTTTTGGGAAAATGGCAAATGGCAATCAAAATAACCGCAGGCAATCAAGTTTAGTGAGGGGAGCACATGGCCGGGGACGAACTTCGATGTTCGCCTTTTGGCCAAACTTTCTTCTTGCTGACGTTTTTCTTTGGCTCCGGCTTTTTGTACATTGTTATGGTTAGTTATTAGTCGGTTGTGCAAACAACAACAAGAACGAATGTTTTTTTTTTGGTTGGTTTGGTGGAATTTTCGGTTAGTTTCGGGAGCGGTTCTGGTGTGTCCTTTTTTTACTCACTGTAGCTTCCACACTTTCGAATGCATCGCCATAAACGGAGGCTGGTGAATTGGAGCGCGAGGCCTTCCGGCGAGGCGGCTTCAGCGGCAAGGACAACTGGCGTTCGGTCATTTCCATATCCTGAGCCTGAGCCTGTGGTTTCGGTTCCGCCTCCAGTTCGGTCTCAGCCTCGATCCTGACCACCAAGGCTGGTGTACTGGTGGCCACCGATCGGCGTAGTGTGGCGCTGGAGTCCGGCTCCTCCTCCTCCTTCAGTTCGTCCTTGAACTTGACCTTGGTACTAGTCACTCCGGATGCGATTCCGCCGGGCTCTTCGTATATATGCTCAGTGGGTCGTCCACTGGGATGCGGCGATATGGAAGTGGATGGACTTCTGGCCGCCTTCCGCTTTATCGAGCGTGCCCGCAAGTTCTGGACAGCAGCTCCAATGATTCCGCCGTGGGCCTCCTGCCAACGCATTCCGCCGCCGAAGAACTCCTCCGGATCGGTGGTCCTCGGGGTGCCGGGCGTGGCCACCGAGGAGGAGGCGGCCGGGGTGCCGGAGGACATGGGCGTGGCACCGCCCATCATCGACATGGCCGGTGTGGCAGCGGCGCTTGCCTTTTCGGAGGACAAAAGCGGCATGAAATTCGCGTTCGATTATTTCCTACAGAGCAGGTTGGTTGAATGGGGAGAGTTTTTTTGTTTTGGATTGGTTCTGAGCTTTGGTTTCTTTATAGAGTGTTTTGTTTTTGAACGCGAGGAAGAGAAAGACAATTTTCGGAGAGAGACACACAGGTGGTTTTAGTCAGGATAATCGAAGGCCACAAGAGTAATTGGGTTAATTGATGGGCATTATCAATAGAGAGGTTACTTGGATTCAAGCAGTTAGTCAAGTTGATTACGTAATGCCACGAATTAGTGACTTTTGTTTTTCCTTTATTTGTTGACTGATTTTCTTGTATTTGGTAGGAATTCAATTTTAAATTGTTACTCTTCGCCATTAGATTCGAACACTTTAAATTAAGCAAAATGTTTACTTTCTAAAACTTTATGTATGGAGCGCAACACTTAAACTTCTTTAAATTTGAATACAATGTTGTCTCGTTTTCTATATACGATTGCGTATAAATGTATAAAAAGCCAAAAAGAGATATTACACAATATTAAAAAAAAACTTAATTTTTTTAAACCCTTTTAGTTAACTTTTTTTTAACTTTTTTGTTAAAAAATACCCACAGGAACATTTATCTGGTTTCTGGTGTCTTGTTTACAGATTGCATGAGTGTTTTAATTGTATTTATTGAGAAACATACAGATGCACAAAATGCACTAAAAGTATACGCCTAAACAAAAAGCTTTCAAGCAAAAACAGACAACGCAAAATAACCAAAAACGAAAATGCTTCAGCTACTACTGGTTAGTATCATAAATAATAGTGGCCAACATTTCCGGCACCATACACATATCGTTTTTTTGTTCCAGTAAACCAAAGAAATGTTTGTTTTATTAGTGGCAGAGGGCGGTGTCATAAAATCAATAAGGAACTTAATTCGAATGTATATTTCAAATTCAAGGCAAAATTCATTTAGAGAAATTAAAATGTAAATCAGGGGCAAATAACAGAACTGATTTATAGCTTTTCCGATGTAATTTTTTCGATATGTAAGAAGAGAAAGAATTTTTTCCATATAAATTGGTAATCATTTTTTTCGCTTTTTTGTTACAATTTTCTCTCGTAACATTTTTCCCAATTGTAAGTGACCTTAAAGTGTGTTTTATTGATATATATATTTTTTCATTTTTTATTTCGTTATGAGTTTTTATATGTTGTGGTTGAAGTTGTCGTTTCAGCTGTTGGTTGTGTGTAAATAGATTCTTCAAAAACAATTATGCTACGCATATCAAATATGCGTGGAATTGCTGTCAGGTGTTTAAGTACATTACTAGTTTGTTTATGATTGGTTTAAAAACGAATAAACGTAAATAAATGATGAAAATAATTATTGTAATAAATATGGAGTTATATACATTGAAAGCGAGTGCGAATCTACTGGGTAATTTAAATTTGAATTATAGTTATTGTTATTTTCATTGGTTTTTCATTTCGGCTCGAAAATCAAATTAAACACTTTTTTTTTGGGAAACACAAAAACCAAAATCGAAACAAAACTTTTTCAATGCATTTCATCAAAGCGAAATTCGCATGCCATTTTTCTTAGGTTTACTTTTCGCTGTTTGGACGGGGGGAGGGGAAAAAGGGGCTCGGTGGGGTGTACCAGTGTGTGTGTTTTAGTTGGATTGTGTGTGTTTAGTTGGGGGCATTTTTGTGGCTGCTGTTTGCTGCTAAATGGTTTTGTTAAAGTTTTCTGTTTTCTCAGGGGGCGGGGACGGGGTGGTGCATGAGTTGTGGTTGATAGCTTACCAAAGGACTTGCAAGAATTACTCCGATCCTGCTTAGTACTGCTGGAAGACGCTGCAAAAATGTACACAAAACAATGTTCATACTCAAAACACACTTTAAGTTTGGTTTGGTTGTCATTTTGATTGGGTTTAGTTTTGGTTTCGGTTTTCTGTTTGCTATTGCTTGTTCAGTTCTCACTTAGCTCCTAGTTTTGAGAGTAAATTAAATTTGGCTGGTGGTTATTCGAATAGTTGCATATCACTAAAATTGGGAACAATGTTCGATTCTTTTCGGTCACGCTTGCGTCTTTTAATATTGAAAAATAAGGTAATTTATGATGCATGGGGCTAAAAAGTGGCATTTATTTAAGTGGCACTATCAGCTCTGTTAAAATGATTGCTTTTCTTTTGTTATCTTTTTACGTAACATGCCACTTAAATTAATTCCCATAAATAGGATTACAAATTCGTAAATCACATGAAAGAAAAATGCTTAACGTGCATTAAACGCTGGGTTCTTAATTCGAAAAGTGCCTACGTAAAAACAAAATGCATATTTTATCGGTTTTATTTTGTATGATCAATTTTAGTTTTTGTTGCTTCATTTTCGTTAGAAAACAATGAAAAACATAAATAAACATACCTACCTACGGGCATGTAAAACGCTTCAATTATTTTATTATTATTCATATTATGTTTGGGTTTTGTTAAAATATTTGCAAACTAATTGGAGATGAATAAAACGCATTGTTTTCCTTACGAACGATTGTATTATACAACATTTAGAAAATAATTAAAACATAACAGAAAACAAATGTATAGATTTCTATCATATGAGGAAGGGATTGGCGGTGGCATTTCTCAGGGTAAATGCCCTTCATTGGGTTAATAAAAATGCAAACAAATTATACAACTGAGCATCGGCACAATTAATACACATACATAGACAGTATCTTTATATAGGACAAAAATCAAAAATCAAAATAAAATCAGTAAGGTGTGAACATAAATCAAATGGAACGTTTCGGTTTAAATCATTTCGTTATTCGTAGGACACACAAATTTACGTTTAGTATAGTTTTAAAAAGTTGTTATACAAAATGCTAAGTTGGGGATCAACACAAAGTGAGTTTTTATAGCGAGCATTTTGTAGTTGATAATGTAAATATGACAATGGTTCTATTAACTAAAGACCATTAAATAAGACTGGACAGTACACGGATAGGTGATCAAAAGTTGGGTATACGCAGATATAGAGAAAAGGAGAGATATAGACGGATAGAGAAAGACAGAGATATAGAGGGGACGCAACACAATGGCGGTAATCGAATTGTTGTTGTCTGAGTTTTTATATATTTTTTGTTTTTTTTTTGTTGTAGTTTTCATGACTTGGGCTCAGGTGTTGCTGGCTTCTTAAACAAAGGAAGAACAAATAACTTGAATAACTTATATAGTACGAATGTTGGTTGTTGTGTTCGCTGTGTGTTTTTATTTCATTTGCTTTGGTTGTTTGTTTTTCTTTTTATATGTATATAACTTTTTTGTTTTTTGTTGGCTTTGCACGCTCATGTAAAATTCATATTTAATTGCTTTCAAAATGCATACGAAATTAGCTTTTTCGGGTCGGGGCTGCCTGGTGTGAATCGGATTAAATGATTATTTAATTTACCTGTGTTACGGGATTCTCGCCGGGCCGGTAGACGACGTTGTGCAGGGGGCGCTTTCGCCCCACATAATTGACGCAGACGAATTCCAGCAAGGAGGCGTAAATGAAGCACATACAGACGCCGTCCCACACGTTCATCGCCGTCAAATTAGAAACAACCGGCAGAGTGCTCCGGAAACCGTTCGAGGTAGTGAAGAAATTCAGCATTGTTGTCACGCCTTCGCTCGGTTGTTCGTTCAAGTTGTTCGGGTTGTTTAAAGTTGGTCATTGTGGATGGTAATGGTAGAGAAACTTGCATTAGCCGTTTGACACTTAATTAGAAAAGCATTGCATACTTCGGGGCGGGGGACAAACGGGAGTCAAGGGCGGAAGGATGTATTTGTATATATTCTGTGGCGTTTTGTTGAGTTGTTTAATTAGTTTTGGCATATGTACAAAAGTTTTTAGTTTCAACTTTACCGTCCGGTACTCGGACCGTATTGTGTTCGTTTCATTTGTTTGGCTTTATTTTGTGGTTTAATAAATGTGCATAAGCTAAAGAAAAGTCAACAATTCTACTAAATTGATGAGGGGCATTATTTCTAAGCATTCGATTTATATGTTTAATTTTATAAGCCCTGTGGTGTCACGTAGATCAATGCCGTTTTAAAGTATACTAGTTTTGAAAGTATATTTTTCAGTTTTATAGTTTACGGATTTTGTAATATATTTTATTCAAATTTTAAATAATAGGTTTTTTTGTCATTATACCTATTTAGTGTTTGTTAAATCATTGCCAATTTTTTTTTCATTTTATCATTGTTGCTTTAATTTTTATATAAGTCGTTAATGACTATTTAAATCCTTTTAAAATACTAATTTATTAATCACAATGATGTGTTACAAAAAACCTATCATTAATATTTTATTTTGCTGCAAATTGCTAAGTTCTTTTCTCCATTAATCAAATTTTTCCCATTGGCTGAGGCGAAAGTGCAAATCGAATTAATCAAGGGAAATGCTGGCATTTAATATTAATTATTCAGCTCATGACCGCTCGACATAAAAATGCAATTGGCCAATGGAGCTGAGCTTGCGACATTATTAATCTTGGTTGCCTAATTAGTTGCGTCAACAATTCGCCAGCTGGCTGAATGCAGGGGAATTTAACTAGTTCGGCATACCAAAAGGAGCTCTTGCAGCATCCGCTTGGCTGCATCCACGAACCACATCGATTTTCAATTTGCCAGCGTTTTGGTATCCGCCCTACTCTTACCAAAAAAAAAACGGAAAATCTCGACGCTGCACTCAACTGAAAATGCTTCGAGGAAAAGCTCGAGAGCCAAGCGGGTCACAAATGAGGGAAAAAGATGCTGCCATGCTAAGAAGGAGCCGCTGTAAAATGCATGCAATGTCAGCACTTCGACTAACAAAACGGCATCGCTTGCCCTGAAGCAATTTCGCCGTTTTTTGACTATTTATTTATTTAGTTTCCTTTTGTCATTGAAATGTCGTCTGATTATGTTTGCTCTGGGCAGACAATGACAGCCAGCAATGGAATTATCCTTCCCCTTTTCGATTTTTACAATGCCATTTGAGTGCTCTGTCGTAGTTTTGTCATCGAAAGATCTTAAGTGCAATATTACTGGAAAAATTTAAAAATTTCATGCCAATTAGATCAAAAGTTACCATGTTGCAATCAATTTTCGACCGATTTAGAGCAATTTACAACAATGTCAATGCATTAAAACTGAATGGGGAAACGTTTAAAGTTTATATTAAAGATAATATTTAAAAAATAATTTATGATAAAGAATATTTTTAAAATGTTCTTTGTCTTAGTGCAAGTATTTTACTGCAACTTAAAGTCAAGGTAAACTCTAAACCTTTTTTAATCCCCATCTGCTAGATTCTCATATATGCCTTAACTTTGTAGTTTCTGCATTACACGCACAGACGGCTTTCTGTTCTATTTGCCTAGTCCATGTTGCCCATATGGCTTATGCATAAATCATCATGTATGATGTGGCCACCGCTCCACGTCATCATCATCGTCATCACAGGGACTGGGATGTGGAATGTGCTACAAGCCGTGGAAAATACCAGGATACGGCGTGTCCGTGTTTCTGTGTCTCCTGTCCAGGAGCAGCTGCCAACGACGTTGGATCCTGATGTTTCGACTGACATTCCCTTTGCGTTGCTCTCATTATTTTCATTTCGGTTTCTCACTTTTGGCCATACAGCACAGTAATTGCATTATTTTTGCTCCACTCGGCATAAACAGCTGAGGGCAAAATACTAGTAGTGGTACTAAGAAAGCCATTGTACTTAAAATCTGTCCATGTCTATCTGACAATGAAATTTGAGTTATTCAAATATTTCAAATAAATACTCTTAAAAATCTTAAAGCAACAATAATAAAATGTATTATAATTTTTAGATTACTCGAATTTTCACACAGTATTTATAATGTTAATGATTTTATTTTTTATTTGGTTTTTATCTCGGTTTTTTATTGATGTAATTTGCAATTGATTTTTTTTTGGTTTGAATATTATATGTTATTAATTCTAAATTTTAAATGTAAGTGTTGCAATCTATTTGAACATAAATTTGGGTAGCCCTTTTAGCATGATGTATGTAGAACGCTTTAGTTGATTTTTCGTATACGGTTTTACCAAAGCTTCTCAAAGAAAATAAAGATTAAGTTAAGTTGACTAGTTTAAGTTAAGAAGTCATGCAATGCATAAGGACTCAAAGGAGTTGGGCGTTTACCAAATACGAGTGCAGGAAGTAAGAAAATACAAAATGAGAAAATCAACATTGGTAAAATCAGTCCAAGAAATGGATCGAAATGAAAAAGGAATCCATTTAAATCGAGCGGCTAGCTAAACTTGAAATTTGAATGAGTTAAATGGTCGTAGGCTGGTCTAAACTAAAAAACCTCTAAATATATTACTTATTATTGGCCAATTGTCTCGTGGTTGCGTTTAAATTTGGACTAAAACTTTCTGGACAGCTACATTTTCGTTAACGACTAAATAGTGATTTGGATTGTTTTTTCATTGATTTGGAAGACTTTGATTGTTGATAAGATTTCTGTTTGCTTCATTAACAATTTGGAACTTCTTTTTTTTTTTTTTTTTGTTTTTGGTTTTGATTTTGCTACGTACCGATCATAACCCGGGCTGGGACTGCATTCCATTCCAGCCAAAATGTGATAAACGACGAGGTGACCAATATAATGCCAGGTATGAAAACGGTTGTAAAATAATACGCACGATCACGGGTAAATGTCAACTCGACCTGTAGGCAACTGTAATTACCTTAAGAAACAAGGCCGGAATTATGCAAATTCGGCCAAAGGTTAACACACGCACACACACAGAGACAGACAGAGAGAGATAGAGAGTTATAGATAGAGAGGCCTATTTGGTAGGAGGACGCATTTATTTGGATTTTCCTTCAAAGGGCCTAGAACTAGCCCATACTAATTCCCGAGTTTTGGCTTATTTTGGCTAAACTATACCTCTGATTACAGAACGGAAAAATATATAAACTTGAATAACTAAAATTGTGTTTTGGTAATTTGGGCTTTGCTTTCAGATTTGGGGTGGAATTTGGATTGGTATTGGTTGGCTCTCATTCAAGGAACCAAACCCATGCAGCAAACCTTAAATTCTAAGATCTTTTTGGTGTGGCATACTTTGGGTGGGCACTGTAATTTTTGTTTTTTGCTACTACTTTGGCCGCAATAAAATGAAATGGAAAAGTGACAATTATAAATCATAAAATTGTACAAATTACATTACAGAAGGGCAATCGAAAAAGGCAAATGCTACGAAAGGCGGAAAGAAAATCAACTCTCAATGGCGTACAAAATTGATTTTTTGTTCGGTTAAATTCTTAAAAGTACGTATTTTTATTAAGAGTTTTTTTTTGGTTTTGTTTAGTGTGAGAGAGATAGAGCGAGGGCAAAAATTGGTTATGATTGTTTTTAATTGGTTGGTTGGTATTTTGGTATTGTTACCTATCATCGATCTAGCTGGCACTGCATTCCATTCTAGCCAGAAAGTTATAAAGGACGACGTCACCAATATAATGCCGGGTATAAAAACGGTGGTGAAATAGAATGCACGATCTCTGGTAAAGATTAAATCGACCCTAAGACAGCTGTAGTTCCCTAGGGGCATTATTTGTTTTGGTTTTTGGATATTTTTTGTTGGTTGTTTTGTAGCGTTTTTTTATAAGAGAGAGAGGAGGAGTGGGAGGGTAGACAAAGAGTAGACCATTAGATAGGCATTGGATTTATTTTTGTAGATTCTTTGCTATAATGTAAAAGCTGCATAAGCACGTCTAGCCGAGGTCTGAGACTACGAAAGTAAATTAAGAAAAAATGAACTTTAAAAGCCAAGCCAAAGAATGGAGTACTAAACTGAGAAGGTCCGTTTGTAAGAAACCTAAAATAATTGTTTGAATACGCCTTTTTGTATGTTGAACAAAGAAAATACCATTTTACCATCGAACACTACTGTTACTAAAGAGCAAAATTTCCTGGTTGTAAGTTCTTTGGCTAATACAAAGTATAAGCAAATGAAGTGATTGGCAGTCGAGTCGAATGGAGATCCCAATGACTTACCTCTCCAGCTGTTTTGATCGCAGGCCGTTGTTTGATTCTTGATTAAGTACGCGTTTAACGTGGTCAGCGAAGGACTTTTTCGCAGAGTGTCCTCATCGTTCTTCCAGACGTATTTGATTTGGGCCTCCTCGTAGGAAACTGCACAAGGACGAGAGGAGAATTCTTATTTCAGAAACACTGGCTCAGTTGGATTACACTCTCAGCCACGAGTAATCTCTTCATCCCCATCTCCATCCCCATTATCATCATATCATTAATTAATTAGATTAATGTAAATAGGCAGAGATACACAAATGCATATTGTCTGAGCCATTTGTCAGGGTTCGGGCCCAGACCCCGTAAATTAAATCATATTTGACAAACAAGCCTTGACAGGCAGGCAAAAGGCACAACACTTCGATGGATGTTTCTATTACCCCCTCATAGATGAAAATCTCGGCAGGAACCGACATCATCATCCTCTCAAAGTAATTTACGATGTTGCTCACGTTCTTAGCCAATGTTTCCAAGAGGGTTGGGAACCGGAAACAACTTTCGAAAACAATGTAAAGACAAAAAGCCCAGAACAAGGCTGACTGTGTGCGCCTGTCTCTGTGACTGTGTGGCAGGCAGTCAGCCTTGTTAGTCACTTTGTCAGCTTTTGTCGTTTAGACGCCCCTTTGCCGGTGCCACGCCCTTTAGGCCCCATCGCCTCCTCCATTGTTGCATAAACACACAACGAAACAAACACACAGACGAATGCAGATAGAGGAACAGATTTCCCCTGAGTGGCAGTCAACACGCTCGCCTGCCCATCTTTTTATCATCAGAGCATCAACATCTTGAGGTTCTCTTTCAACACTTTGGAATTGTCACATTATTTATACATTAATCTCACTGGCTCTTCAATTTTACCTACTTTTTAGAAAATGTTTCATCCACAGCATTTGTTTCTGACTTAGCTGATTCTGATACTTATTTCATTAAACTTTACTTCATCCCCCAATCTTTTTTATATAATCTGTCGTTAACTAAAAATAAATAAGAATATATTTTCTTTAAACTTACTGCTTTCCATGGAGAAGGAACACTTTGGATCATCGAATGGAAATATATGAAGACTTCCCTGGCAGGATAAGATCAGATGACGTCTGAAAGGAGATAGCAAATGCAATAAATTACTTAAATCCATAAATAATATCATAAATTTTGATAATCTGTTAAATGTTATTACCATTATTATTTTGAATTTATGATAATTTCTAATTGATAGCCATTAGGCTATTGAAATCCTTGACATTCTGGCACATAAATTAATATGATAATAATAAAATAAACGCGAACTAACTTTCAAACAAAAATATTTAGGTTGCTTTTAAGTTTGATTTACAACATCTATCGTAAAACTTTTTTGACCTTATAACTCTTTGAATTTTACCCTCGAGCAATTTCATGCTTGTCTTTGCCACTTAATATCACGCTTTGTTCAACAGCATCAATTCATAATTTTCCACCCCGTGTCGCTGTCGCTTTTCCAGCAAGTTTTTCCGACGTTTCTCCTTGTCGGCTATGCAAACAGCAAAAGGGAAATGCTGGACCAGAAAATGCTGGGGAAAGTAAATGGCAACTGCAACTTATTTTAATTGCTGGACGACACTTTTGCGCTATGCAGTCAATTGGAAAAGTTCTGTTGAATTAAAAATGTAGACAAGTTGGAAGAGGAGGCAGTGAGCGAAAAAGAGGGAAAGAAGACAAACATGAGCATCCAACAAATGCTGGCCATATTGTGAAAAGTTCCTAGCCTCTTTTTTTCCTCGGGAAACAACATACGAGCCTGAATTTTGCAGCTGGCCAGGAGTTGGGATATATGTACTTTGTACCTGGGCAAATATTTACATACCTACTTTTACTTTTTTTACATTTTACTCATATTCGCCCATTTCTCTGCGCTACCGTCTCCATTTCTTGTGCTATTTTTCATTACGGCCTCGTATGTTTGCCCGGCTAGCTTACATATTTTGTGGGCCCTTTCCTCAAATTTTCCACTAGCCAGCGAGAAATAAAAAAAACGGTGAAAAATTGAGCAAAAGAGGCAGCAGCGGAAAAAAGTAGAGAGAATAAAAAAATATTGCCGCTCTGCCCTGTCATCTTGCTCTCCCTAATGAATATGAACTTTGAGCGAAAATTTGCATTTTCTGGCGCCATTAAAGCCGCTTAGCCCGGCCTCGTCTCCGGTTTTGTATAAAAAATTCATTCATATTCAAATCGGGCTGCAGAGCAGACACACACCTCATTGCGTACGTAATGGTCCCGTTCCGAAATATTCTTAAAGCGAAATGCATTGGTATGATGGGATCCTTGAAATCGCCATGCATAATGAAATACGTATCCGGCGTCCAGATGCTATCATGGTGATGCAGAGCATTTAAGAAGTCGTAATGAGACTTATTGCCATATTGCAGTCGCGGATCGTTCCATTGCTGGTTAAGCAGAAATTCCACCTCGTATTTCTGCAAACAATCGTTATAAAATATATATTTTTTGCAAATATCCTCGGACTCACCAAACTGCTTTCATCGGGCGATGCTAAGCTCAGGAGCAGCACGTTCACGTTCACCGTCAGAGTGCCTATTAAAATGAATTTTAGTACACACAGTAGAGGTCAACTTATATATTTTATTGAAATGCGAAAGAAGTGCCAGAAGAAAGAAAAATGTCTAGTTACTAAAGACGCAATTAAAGCAAAATTCTTTTATAAATATATCTTTAATTCAGCTAGCAAATATGTAAATAATTTGTTTAATATGAGTGTTAGCTAATGACTGATACCCCAATGTAAATACAAATAAAAACTCAAGTTTCACACCGTCATCGTGCTGAACTAAAATCTTTCTGGTAAAATATTTATTGTACTCAACAAATGGATTTGTGAAACTTTTCGGAATTTTTTAAGATTAACTAGAAACAAAAATCCAAGTCAGTTTCATAAATCCACCCACATAAATAAACTTAAGATTTTAAAATATAAGAAATAGTGGAAAAGAAAGTTATCTATGTAAAAAAAGGAAGAACCATAAAATGGCAGCCACAAGTGCATCCATAATATAAAAATCCGTGAGAGTACACGAACCGCGATTGTGTGGTCTCCGTGCATTTTGATTAGTTGCCATGTCGGGCGATTGCAAACCACAGCAAAAGTCTTCATCTGCAAAAGTTAAATGATAGTAGTCTGAACAATTTCGAGTACAAATATTTAATCCCATCAATTTTTTTCATTAATATTATCTTTCATTCCCTCAGTAACAATGCAATACTTTATAAATGCTCGAAGAATGTAATGTAATGATTTCCAAAGCATAAACATATCGAAGGAAATGTAATTGCATTGCATAGACGGTCTGGCTGTAGATAGTGGCCACCCAAACCCTCAAAGTGTCCACTTCTTTTGTGCATCGCATCCAGGGCGGTGGAGCCATTAACTTTAATTGATTTTATAGTGTCCATACGTCGTGGCCTGGATCCTGCAATTGTTGTCTGCTGGTTGTCATTTGGCAACCAAGACTAAAAACTTTCCACGATCCCCTTTCCCCCTCGGTCAACGAACCCTAATGGCACCAAAGCTATGTATATATTGTTCTTCCCCACTCTCCACTTAGTAAAATTGGAAATTTAATCGAAACAATGTGGAAATGGAGGATAAGTTTTAAAGCTTCTTACCATTTACAGGCGGCAGTAATCGTTTATCGTAGCGCTTCTTCTCAAGCAGTAAATCTAATATCTCCTTATCCGAACTGGACTCATCGAATCTGCGAGGAACACAAGAAAATTAGTTTGAAATTTGGCATCACAAAATTATGTTAGTTAGTGTTAGTAATTGTCAAAGTATACAATTGTTTATTTTCCCAAGGAATCTTTATATACAACAGTTTTGTGTGCTGTTTTAAATAAATGGGAAGATTGTTAGTTTGTGGACAAATAAGTCGAACAAGGAAACCAATTAACAGATAATATTATTTAACTCATAAGTAAGTAAGCAGAAAAATTTAAAATTGTCCTTTTTTATAACCGAAAAACTTTTTATTAAAATATTAAGTTTTTCGAGATGACAGTTAATTTAAAAATGTAGCTAGATTTCAGATATTTGCCTTGAAGTAGTTTGCAAAGCATTTTAGTTTAGGCAAATCATAAATTTGTTTTCGAATTGCATGCATAACATCAGCAGAACGAAGCTGAGAAAAACCAATTACCTCAACGGGAATCAAATAAACTCAAAAAAGTATATTGTGTGCAGAAAACGAAACTTCATAATTTGAGTAAAAGATGAAACCAAAAACTCTAGTTTTCTCTTTTTCCATATATTCTCTGTTTTCGGTTTTTCTTTTTTAGAGAGGGAAGGAGGTGTGCATTAACTTACTTCGACCAATCGATGCCATGACTGAAAGAATTTCAAAAAGGAAAAAATAAATAGAACAATTTTTGTACGTGTTGTGGAAAGGATTGCCAGGCGATATAGATTGATAGATATGTATAAGGAGAGACAGATAGATAGTTAGGGAAATAGAGAGGCTGCGTGTGTGTTCAGTGTAGGTCAAAATCAAATGGTGGTGTTCCCGAATGAAGTTGGGTGTTTTCATGAATGCTACAAAATGGCCTTGATTTTAACTCTAAGCTAGGAATTTCTTATATATTTTTATTTATTTGTATTTACTTGGCAATTATTACTTCTTCTATAATTTTTAATATTTTAAAAATCGTTTTCTACTTGGTTTTGAACAAATATAACAAATATATACAACAAATATATATAACAAATATTTTTGCAATCGACTTTTTATTAAATGTGATTGCTAATCCGGAAACGGAAACGTAAAAGAATGAGTTACTTTTTTTTTTACGTTCTTTTCAAACTTTTCAAGAGAAAAATTAAGGCGAATTTTGCGTTTAAGTGGAATCTGTATCGATTTTATCCATCGATATCTGTAACGATTTTCTTATGCACTCACATGGGATGCTTGTCCAGGGCACCTGTCTCCGAATTCGTGGCAGCTGCCGTGGACGCGGTGGTCAGATAGCAGAGCATCAGGATGACGCTGGAGGCGGCGTAGAAGCTGATCGACTGGCTGTAGTGCTTGTAGTGCTGGCCAAGATATTGGAAGGCTGCCGCCGAGGTGGCCGCTGCCGTGGCGCTGACATTCGCAATAATGGCCGCTGACATGGTGGCGGGCAGTTGACTCTCGGCATACGGATGTCCTTGCCACGGCCGGTAAGCTATTGGCTGGCGATCGTGGACAGCAGGACTCTCGTCGTCGTCATGCTTCTGCAGCGTTTTCGCTAGGGCGGCGAGGGCTTGGAAATGCAGGGATAAAGCTGAGATACCAGCAATGGCAGCTGGTGATTTGGAGCCGCTCGCAGGACTCGCTGGATCCTGGCGCCTCCGCCGGCGGACATTGCGATGCTGCCGCTGCTGATGCTGCTCGTCCTCATCCCGCTCGGCGATTTGAGTCGTGGCTGCCGCCGCAATATCGATTCCGATTCTGGCCGCCGTATCGACAATGGATCCTTGCGTCGCCAACGCGTCCTTCGCGCCTTCGTCCTTGTGCGTTTCAGCCACTTGACTACCGTGCTTGCCGTTGTTCTCCTGACGTGCCTGCCGTATCGTTAAAAGCACTTGAGCCGTCGCTTTTAGATGTTCGGGCACAGTTTCTGCCTCTGTTTCGGCCTCTGATTGTGTTTGGGCTCCTGCTTCTGATTCTGCCGCTGATTCTACTTCTGCCTCTGTTTGTGTTTCGGTTTGCGTTTTATGGTTTTGTTGATAGTTATCCTTGATTTTGATGTCCTCAGCTGGCTTGTCGTTTGCTCTGACAGCGGCCTTGCCTCTGGTCCCCGCTGCTGCTTTTCCACGGCATTGGTTTCGCCTCAGTTGCTTGATTCTCGGTTTGTTGTGGGGCTGCTCTTTGGCCGCTTCAAAGACGCAGCCCATGTTACGACAACTGCAAGGAAATAAGTGTTAAATGAAACAAGTAAATCTATGTAGGTATCAATCGCTTACGCAATACTAAGTACAACTTATACGACCAAATGCAGAAACAAATTTTTGCTTTTTTATAACTTGTTTAACTTTGTCGAGCGCTAGCATCTGTATTACCAACTTGATCTTTATCTTGTGCATAAAAGAGTTAAATGAGATTTTATTTCCAGTGAAATGAAACTTCTTACCCTAAAAAAATGTACACCAAAAAAAATCTGAAAAGTGAAAAGTTCTTAAACAACTATACTGGAAAACCAAGATTGCCTTAGATTTTTTTGCAAAAAAGTGTTTTTTTCTACACTTCTTTAAAATATTTTATTATATTACCCACTTGTAACGAGGATTAATTTAAAAAGGTTGGTAAATTTTTCAATTATTGTTAAAATACCTTGAATATTAATACCTCTCCCACAATAACTGTCAAATCCATGTGCTAAAATAATTCATTCCACGAAAATCAGCAGTAAACCATTGGGCGGTATTTCAATTTAGCTGCACCCCCACAAAACTAATTAACCTCGGCGAAAGCAATTCGCGCCGCACAATCTAAAATAAAAATCTATCGTCACCCACTTGATTGTCGTTTCCAATGACTTGCCTGCATCAACACTCGACCCCGTATATATAGGATTTGATTGATGTGGCAATATTGGAATGTTTTGGCCCAACGGCCACGCCCACCTGCGTGCACAACTAACCGTAAATGTCAGTTGCCAAATAACACGGTTCCTGAAACAGATTTACGACTGGCACAGAAAACTTTAATTTTCTTGGTAATTTCAAGCATAAGTAGAAAATTTTGTAGAATCCTCTACCTGATATTACCTACCTGCCATTATGAATTATATGGACATGTGTCTGCATTGGTTACGAAAAATGGGATGATGTACACTGTAAAATAAAATCTTGATTGTTTGTAATAAAAAATATTAACTACACAGTAAGTTGCATAAATTTTAAAAATAATTTTAGGTAAACAAATTTGCTAAAAATTCCTTGTTTTTTTTATATTTTAATATAATTTATTTTATCGTTTAAAATCTTTTTTAGTTGTACAATTTTAATAATATTTCACTTTCAAATACAGTCTTAAGTCAGAGCAAATTATCTAACTTTTGAAGCCATTAAAATCTTCTTTCGAATATTTTTTTTTGTGTGTTGGCAAAAATTATAACATTTCCGAACTGAAAACTAGCTTTACCCTAGTGTAAGCAGTTTAGGCCAGACCCGAAAACCGAATGTCAGTCAGGCAGTCAATGGGCCAAACGAATTTTTATTGTTGCCTGTCAAAGGCTGTCTTTTGGCTGTCTTTCCTCGGCTGCTGTTGCTGCCACTATAGTTGTTGCTGTTGTGGTTGTCAGCTTGTGGCCAAGTCAGGGAGGAATGCAATTTTCGTTTCGGCCAATCGTACATGTAGTTTTCAAGTAGGAACAAGCTTGGCTATATTTTGACATTTATTCAACATGCAAAGACTCGAACGGCCATTGCACTACTGAAATGAATACAGACCGCAAGAATTCAATTTCCGTTTTTGCTCTAAATAAAACTGTAGAATAAACAGACATCCATTGAGAACGAATGATTTGGGTCTGATTAGTTATGTATATATAACTGCATGCATGTTCGTACACATGTTCCTAATCGGCTTATATAGAAAGCAGTTTAAGAAAATCGACTAAGCGGATTGAAGTAAATTTATTTTAATATTTTTAAGAAAAGTTTACAGATTTGGAATCCGGAAAACATGGTAACAAACCGCAGTCAATTTAAGCTTGATTGCCCAAACAGCTTATTCCCAACCATATGGAAAAGCCAGTAAAAAACTTTGACATGAGTGAGACGGCTCTGTGGCCTTTTCCCCTTCAACAAAAGGAAAACCGCAGAAAACACAGACAATCCCACCAGAACTCAGTGGCTTTGGGGTATCCTCCACCATATTCAGGGTCTTCATTATACATTTATTCGATTTTTACGTGACTTTGGCCATAAAGCACAAAAATAAACCCCAAGACAGCAGATACCAAAAGTAATAGGCATAGAAACTAGGGAAGGCCCGAGAAGTGGGCTTGTAAATGGGTCTCATATACAAATTGATACCGATATAGCTTATACGTGTTTTCCTTGGCCCCATCTCGGTTCCACCCGCCCACATGTGCCAGGACAATTATTGACCTCAATCTATTTTAAACGCCTGTTCGACTTTCTTTTTGTTTCGGGGTGGTGCACCAAAAATGTCAAAAAACTTTAGCTGAATGCGAACTTTGCGAGCGAAGCAGAAAGCTTTAAAAAAAACAAGACGAGGATAGAAAATACAGAAATTTCTGACCATAGATCAGTTCATACCGGGCTTCCTTTGAATCCTTCCTGGCCTTCCCCGCTGATATCCTTCATGCCTTCCGGGGCATAAATTTACACAAACCGCGCTCGAGAGCCCGACGACTGCAGTTTGGCCAAAGTTAATCCTGCCATCGTCTGGCGGCCGGAAACGGCGCCAACTGACAGCCCAAGCCAACAACTAACCCGAAACACAACCAATCCTCAATCCCCCATCCTCCCCTTCCCTTGGCACATTTTTTTCTTTGGGCTTAGTCCCTAGTTCGTTGTGCATTTCATTTTGCGCTCTCAACTTTTTCATATATTTTTACTGGGGCAACTTTTCATATTCCGTATCTGTATCTTCGTTTTGTATCTTTTTTGTTGGTGCGACTTGTTCAGTCAATTTAATAATTTGCTGCTAGTTTTTGCCTCCTCTTTCAAATTAGTTGACACTGTGGGTAGATTTGCAGCCAACATTATTTGCATACTTTTGGCCGGGCGCTTCTGTTGCGGTCGTGGCTACATGTCGGATACTTAATATCCCTCGGACCGACAAACATTTCGAGCACGTTTTGTGCTGGATCAGCTTTAATGTCCTAATTTGCAATTTCGCCCAAATCAAGCGGCAATCCAATTAGATGTTAGTCCAACACTTTTGAAGCTGGCCAGAGTTAATTGAAAATTCCATTAAATTTGATGGAGGAGAAACTATTTCCCGGGCTGAGTAATTGCAATTTACGGCTGCTGGTCAGTAGTAAAGAGGTTACAGGTGATGGGAGTAATTAATATGAAGACATCTTGAATCAAGATGAATGCAAATTTGAATTAATATTATATACCCATATCATGATTTGGGAAAAATTGTTAAGGAAAACACCTGTCGTTTTAAGCATTGGAATATTTGCTGTTGTATTTGATATAAACGAGACTTTCCTATCACTTATTGCTTATTCTAATAAATATGTTAAGACTATATTCTTCAATATTGTGCTTATATAATTTTTAGACATCGCTAAGAACTGACCTTAGGGTCAATCTATTAACCCAAATGTCTTTCGACTAGTAACCTTCTAAAGAAAATATTTAAATTTGCCGTTAAACTGACAAGTCTCGGTCACAGACCAGCGAGTAACCTCCGTAAACAAAATAACAATAAAAACTTTAGCCACAACGACAACAACAATAGCAAAAAGCAACAATTACAAACAACTTGTTATCGATTTTTTGGGCGTCAGTGTTTACCATGGCGCCATTGTTCGAAGTCACGAACTTTCCAGTGACAGAAAAGACAAGAGCAAAAATAAAGTTGATTAAACCCATTGAAATTTTCTCTGGCTTTTAACGTATCCTATATATCCACGTATATATAAAGATTGTGGGCGGCCGAAGAAGAAAGGCTAAATGGGGGGCATTGTTGTGTTGAAGGCAGCTCTACAAATTATGAATGTGGACAACTCAACAAATTGTGAATTAATTCATTGTTCTGAAAAAGTTACAATTACACCGAGAGAAAAGCCTCTAAAGAGAATTACAATTTAAAAATAAAAATATGTCATACAAAGTAATGCTTTAAAAATATTTACCAACTATCTAAATTTATTAAAATAAATTAATTCTAATTTACAATTGACCATTTCGATTTTGGAAAAGTCATATATTATAATTATAACAATTTTGGAACCCGTTAAACAGCATGACAGCATTATATTAGTTATCTCCTTTAGTTGTAATCATCCTGAATTTACATCGGTGCCCTGCACTTCAATCAAATCAACGCAAAATGATATCCATATTTAATGAGCTTAATCTGCCGCTAGCCATAATGGACCATAATCTGTTGCATTAAAAGTTATTAAAATGTCATGGCATAGACCAAAAATTTATGGGCTGGCAAATGTGGTAATTGAAGAAGGGCACTTGACCCAGTTTCGCCAGCGGATTGCAATTGGAAATTGGCAGTGCGAGCACTAAGAGCAATCTGCATGCTGCCATGCCTAATTAAATAACTCGGTGGGCAAATGCAGCGATGTTCGCTTCTGGAATGCAGGTGGATTTCCGGAGTGAAACGGCACGGCGATGGAGATCGAGTCGAGTGCAGTTCATTCGCATTTCAATTAAAATGGAAGTGCAGACATAGACACAAACAGGCGGCGGGTACTCAACAAATGGCAAACCACTCAAAGGGACGCTAAGCCGTTTAGGCTTAAGTCAGCTTATTGCTCGGAAAAGTGGAACACGCGACGACATAGTTGACACACGACGACGACCTGTTGGAGACCGAGAATTTTCCAATAATCGAACGTACACGTTTAATTAATGCCAGCCAAGTGTAATTGAATAAAAGTCCTAGCCCCAGGGGTTTTTAATTTGATTGCATTGTTTAATTTAAAGTATAGCACAAATACCAGACCGCAGCGCTCATAACTGTAAATGGGGTATGGTACACTAACTGCTCCCTAAAAAATAATTATTATCAATTCCTGAAAACTTAACATATTCAATTGTAAATAAAGTGATAGTGATTTGTTAGTTCCTTAATACAATTTTGATATATTCCAAGGTAATTATTTGTTAGTTTTTATTTTTAGAAAAACTATCGTAAGAACTTAATTCTTATAAAATTTGAATAGGCTTTTAAAAATTAAGGTTATTTATAATAAACTAAGAGTAAATGAAATGTCTTTGAATTTTAAAATTTAATTTTGTGCATACAAGCGAGGAAGCATTTAAGCAAAGTCTACTGTATATGCTTATGATTCATCGCTGAGGTGAGCCATTTAACCCAACTAATTGCACATTTTGACAGTTTGCGGTGCAAACGTTTGCGCAAAGTTAACGCAAAATGACAAAGTGCAAATGTGCAATGGTCGTGTGGAGATAGAGCAGGAATTGCGGTTGGACTTGGGGATGGGAATTTGGATGGGTTAGTGGTGCATTTATAGGATGTGGAGTGTTGGGTGGTGTTGTTATTCCGATATTCCGGTGTTTGTCTGCGTGGTATCACATTCTGTTTACAATAAGCTTGGGTCAGCTCGATGACGATGTTGGCCAACACACACAGGAAAGTCGAAAACATCGAAGAATAGTTAACTTTTGTTCTTTTTCCTATTCCCCAGAGAAATAAGAACTGAATCGAACAGATGGCAATTGTACAATGTTGGCTTTGGGAATTTTATGCAGCATATATTCAGTTGAACACTTTCGAAAAAGTTGTACGTACATATTTTATAAATAATTAAAATTGAATGAGCAAATTGCGGTGGATATTCACGGATGACCGCGACCACAGGCCCTTAAAGTGAAGCGGAAGTATGTCACGCCCGCAAATGTTGTGTATACAGCTGAGGTCGGAATATTAACACTGGAAGCTAAAGTTGACACATTTGACCGATTTATTTATTTGAATTTTAAATAATTTGTAATGTCTAGGTTTTGAAATGTAGTTTATAGTACTAAAAATGCACGTATTTATAAGTAGTATAAGCCCTAAAAGCCCTACGGTTAATTAAAAGAAAATGGTTGAAATAAAAAAAAATGTTTTTAGTAATTAAAAGAAACATATAATAAGACATTTTGTGATCAAAGATCTCTTGAAATAAGTTAATTAGGTAATATAGAAATAAATACACTTTAGCCATGCCCGGATCCACTCATTTAGAAAGTGAAATGAAATATGGTACTACAAAAGTATGCAGCAAAAATTTTTTTTTAAATCCACGCGTTAGGGCTTAGTAATTACAAAAAATGTATTTGTTGAACAATTGAACCCTTTTCAAAATGTCCAATCAAATACAAAATCGCTAAGTTATGAATTGTAAATACTTTGTTTCAGAACTTAAGCTGAACATGTTTTATTTATACCCACCACTCGTTGCCATTTCATTGATTGTTTGAGTAATTAAACAATCGAATCGAGCAATCCCCTTGATCCCATTTTCAGATCCAACTTTTCGAGGCTGCGTCCTTTTCAGTTACATTTTTTTGCACATCATTCCCGGTTTCGTTAAAGGCTTTCGGAAGGATTTGTTTTTTGTGCGAAGGCCCTTTCTAAAATGTCGAAGGGAAGAGTTCGAATGCTCTTGGTCCTGTCACTGCCACTTAAATGCCATGCATCATGGAAATTTATGTGAATAAATTATAATCAAGCAAAGAAAAACTTGCAGACCGTAATAATTCAGATTAAAAAGTATTTATACACATGACACAGTCAGTTGGGGAAAATTCTGGATAGCGAGATGGGCCTCTGGGAGGTTGGAAAGTTGGGAGGAGGGCGTGGCAGTTGAGAGCTGGGTGGGCTTATGCTGCTGGTCACGCGTGTTGGCCGCGTGTGTCCAGCGCTGATTTCGCCATAATAAATTGACATTTTTGGACATTTCTCTGCTCTTTTCTCTGGTTTCGCTCGGGGGAACTGGGAGCTGTCTGTCATTTAAGCTTCTCTGTTTTTATTATTTTCCCCCTTTTGGTTGGTGGTTTCTGCTGTTTTTACAAGGGCCCAGGGCCCAAGCAGCTTACGGGGATATTGGCTCAAGAGTCGAATTGAGGGCGAAGGATATGCACGCTGACAATTCTTAAATTTATCTTTTAAGTCAAATTGCTTATTACAAGTTTTAATACATATTGAGAAGAGATATTTGGTAGGTACTTGATTCTTTTGCGTTATGTACTAACACTTTATTTATAAAAAAAAATCATGTTTAAATGCCTTCAAATATGCCGTCATTAATATTAATTGATTTTCTTGGATTCTTATTTTGTTTTTAACTTTTTATAAATATAAAAATTTATAAATATAAAAAATAAATTAATATTAATAATCATTTGTATATTACATTTTACTCCTTTTGGGAACTTAAAACATATAATATCCGTACCATGACCACAAATAAAATCTATGCGGGAAATTGCTTTACAAAATCTGGACAATCAAAATTCTTGGGTTTCCCCTACAAAAACAAAAAATCACCAAGAAAATAACAGGAAAAAGCAATAAGCATTCAAATAACAAGTAGCATAAGAACAGCGAACAAGCAACGACAAATAATTTGGCACAAAAGCAAATAAACAAGATAAACAAACAAACACGAGGGAAAGACGTTGAAGACGCAACAACACCGAGAAAAGTAAAGACAAAAACGAGCCAAGCAAGAACCAAAGCACATAATGAGCATAATGGGCGTGTTGAGAGGGGGTTGGCTTGGGGGGTCACATTGCCCCTATGCCATGTAACCTACCTCCCAGATCCCCCCACCACGGACAAGACGAGTGCCAAAGAGCTTTTTGTGTTGGTTTCTCTCTGTTAGTGCTAGAATAAGCGCCACTTTACATGCACACACACACGCCAATCACAGACGCACACACATGTACACTGAGAAAAAAGTCGAAGTTTAAAGTTTATGAAATGAAATGAATTAACATGTTCAACATAATTAAATTAATCATCAACATAATTGTATTAAACAATTTTTGACATTGATGGTGCAGTTTTTTAAAAAAGAGGAATATAATTAGTTTTTCATTAGTTTAGATTTTTCGCTGTGTAGAACATGCTATCTAAATTCAAAAGTAATTATCATTGCTTTAGAAACAAAGTGTTGTTGTTGAATATTGACAAACGATCGTCTAGGTTTTTGAGGCCTGATAATTTTCTTGATCTGTTTTGAAAATAGATAATTTGGCCTTTTTCCTTTTTAATTTCAGTGCAGTGACTGAGGGGCATGGACAGAGGAGATATTAGGGGGTGTCACCCTTCTTGGCTGGATGCAGTTACCAGCTGCAGTTGCATCTGCGAAACGAGGGCAAAGGCACGTCGCCAACCATTTAAACTAATCTTGAGGCAGTTTATTTATATATCTCAAGGGTCGTTTGTCCTAACAATGTGCGCTGCTTATATAGGAGCAGATATACACGCAGATACGTGCATGCATGTATGCTTATATACCTGAGCTAAGTGCAGGTAAGCTATAAAAAGGGGAGCAAACCAAATGAAATGGGGGATCCTTTTAAGGCCAACTCCCTCCATCCAGATAAGGTTAAGATCTATCTTTGAATACATATGTGGGGACTTTAGTATCAAGGAGGAATTCCGGTGAACCTAATTTATTTTGGGTTAATAGGAAAATATTTTGAGCCAATTACAAAACATCCGTATCCCTAAAAAAGAAGGAAATATATTTATATCATAGATTTTTATTACAGCATTATTAAATTCAAGCGCACATAGTGGGATGTTAAGTTGATTTCCCATGTCTGCGCTTCAATTGATCCTCATAATCTGCATGAAAGGTCGTCAATTACATGAATTGAATAGAGTACACTACCGCCCAGGCACTCCTTCACCTCCAGTTCAATGGTTCATAGGGCTCTGGAGGTCGGAGTTGCACACTTCACTGACCTTTGCCTTAAATAATGCCGGTTTGGAGGCTATTTAATTTCTATATAAATATTATGCCATAGACCACAAATCTGCGGGTCATAAGCCGCAAGGACACGGCGCCACAGGACACGCAGCTCCTTGGGAGCTTACAAGTCCGTCAGGCTCGCCAATCCTCGCCAAGCCTCAAGTGCATGCCCGACTGAACTTGTATTAAAGCAGCCGGAAATTAAACACACAAAAGTTTTCCAAGACCTAGCCCGCACCTTCACTAATACATATGCACATAGCTGTACTGCACAGAAAACTAAAATTTGCAAGTATCTGGGTACGTCATTTTTACACTATTTTAAAAAGATTATTTTGGTAACAAAAAACTAAAATTTGCAAGTATTTGGGTTCGAATTTTTCACAATTTTCAAAAGATTACTTTGGGAATTTGTATTTACACCAAATTCATGTAAGTTATTTTAAATTAAATTTAAGCATTTAAAAAAATATCAAAAAAAGATAGACCGTATGCTTATTAAAGACTTAAGAATAAATATTTTTATTTTAAGTCAGCATTTTCAAAGCATTTTTAGTAATGATCTATTTTGAATATTTATGTTTTACCGTCTAAGAACTAATTTTAAATATTCAAGACACTTTTCTCTCTGTATCCTTGCACTGCTTGTTAGTGCTTTGCATTTTTTATAGCTCGCACTTTATTTTTCGTACGAGATTCTTTGCAAGCGAATGCATTCAGAGATCTTTTTGAGCTGGTGGGGCTTTGAGCCAGTAAATACTGCCATTGTGATTGAAAGGAAAAGTTTTGCACTCACCAAATTTAACTTGGCAGCCAGTTCAATGTAATCCTCTATCGCCTTGTCTCTGCATAAGTGCACACGACGCGAGCAAGCTGAAAAAGATAAACCAGTTAAAGCAACCAATTATTAAATGGATACCAACACCAAAGGCCCTCACACTTTCGCACTTCAAGATTGTTTGGTTATGGTATAGTGGTATAGTGGTATAGTGGGTTATGTTTGGATTAATTCCCCATTGTCCGGACCTCCGACCCCCGAACAACAAGCAACAGACGAGAGCTGCTTTTAGATGAAATTGAACATATGAGTTGCAAGGAGTGGAAGTGGAAAGGCTTAGGGCTTAGGCCTGTCTGCTGATGTCGTTGGTCCAACCAACTTGGAATTCCCCAGCATGTGCCGCCGGCGCAAATGATGGAAATCACTTAACACGGAGTGCGGGGGAGTGTGGATGATGACGATGACAACGAGGATATGACAGGAGTGGGTTGTAATGGTGCTGCGAGTGAGAGTGGGATTGTGTCTGAGTTCTTAATGAGCTTTTGTCTGCTGCATACTTTTCAGCGACGAGCATTGAAGAGGAGACGAGACTTCAGCGTCTTGGGCTTTGTTCAAATATTTGACAGGCGGCCGAGGGGCGGGCCTGTCCCTTGGCTATTATTGCCAAGTTTCTCAAAGCAGAGTCAAGAACTAATGAAAAATCAGAGCACAGGGCTTACATCGAATAATTAAGCTTTGACGGACCCTTGCAGATCATTTCATTATCATACAGATGGAAATAAACTTTAATAATTTTAAAGCTTAAAAGTATGTCATTATTTAATAACTGAAGATTGGGTTAAAGTAATCTTAATGTATCTTTAAAAATAAATCATTTAAGCATCAAATAGTGAAGTTACCTCAATAAAATAACTCATTTATTGATTGTTCTTCGGTTATTATACTGAAATCGAAATCTAATCCTTAATATAGGTTTTAATAGCCTAGAAAGCTTAAATTTATTTCCTGACACAAAAAAACAAAACACAGAATTTCATTAGCATCTCAGCCCATAATGAGGGCCCACTTAATTGCCTTGATTTTGTGTAAGATTTCAGCTTTCCGACTGCCATAACAATATCAATATCTTGTTTATGGGCTGCACACAAAATTGAAATTTTCCCACTTATTTAATACACTTAAGCCATCAACTTGCACTTGGTGCACATGGCCACACGTCCTAAATCACTTACGGCCAAGTTCAATCAAACGAGTTAATAACTTCCGCAATGTGGCAGCCAAAATTAACCATAATTCACATGCTACGGCCAACTAAACTGACCTATTAGCCTTCTGGTCCTGGGACATGGGGGTCTGGGTCTGGGCCCAGTTTGTGCGCTTGAATGGATGGTCCGAGTTCCGAGTTGCGAGGTCCGAGTGGGCCACGTTGAGCCGGGCCAAGACCACTGGGCGGCTGTCGGGGGACTGTAATATGGTAATTTTAGCGCTTGTCTCTCCACGGACTCACATGGCAATCAGCACACATAAGCCCAGGTACACAAAGAATAAAAATGCCGGAGCACATGTCACATTTGCCACATGAGTTAACGTAGCTCATTTATCATGGCCTGGCCCCCGTTCTGCGTCCTGCGATGCCCTACATCCTTCTGTCTCCCTTAGGCGGCGGTTCAAGGTGACCAAGGCATTTGCTGGCCAATCTGAGGTCGTGTTTTCACGTCCACTTGGAAATAAGATTGTGCACGTTAATCAAGTACAAGGATTCTCATAAGTATTTCAGTTTGTTTCATACTAGTTTGGAATTTATTTTTTATTATTTGGAGAAATAGCTAAAATTGAAGTTAACTGCTAAAGAAATTGCAAATATTTTGTTTTCCTTAATTAAAAAAATATTTAAAATTATATTTAATTGTGCTTCAATTCGCGTTGATCTTCTGTATTTGATTTTTCTGAACCAAGACTCTGGTCAATTTTTTTTTAAGTGTAAATATGCATGTGTATAGAGTGTATACACCTAACACCAAAATCTAATTGTAGCCCAAGGCAGAGGCATAGGCAGATGGTGGAAGAACTTTAATTACGGCAGCCACGACTCCTCAAACCGAATGGACTCCATTCCCAGTATCACAATGCAATATTTATTAGTGCGTGTGGTCGTGCTCCCTGGCCTCCATGTATATAATAAACATATATGCATGCGAACATACACTGTGTGGTATGGCATTATATGTCGCCTGACTAAATTTAGATATGCAAATCGATAAAAAAAAATACCAAGGCACGCACGCATTTTTAGTGCCCAAGTTTAGCTTCGAAACGTTTTTCCACGTAGACCAGAGTCAGGAGTTCGACTCGGAGTCGGATAAAAGGGCTCCGGCTGAGGGACAAGTGTATAAAGGTCGCGCTTTTGCTATAATTATATAAAGATAGTAGAGGCCTTATTCCAGCAAAACGATTTACAAAGCTGCCACGAGTTTTCGCCCCCAACTGAGGATTAAGATTTAGGCTAGCCTGATAGCATTCCACATGAAATGCCAACTCATTTGTTTTTCTCGGGATTGGTGGGTACTAAAGTCGAGCACAAGTTATTTAAATGTTGGCTTTATATGTGATAATCTTGGGGATTGGTAATGTTGGAGTTATACAAAAACATAGAATACTAATCTTGAAACATTATTTTTTAGAAGTTGCCATCTTTCCACAGTATGAAATATAATCCGATATTATTTTGTATAAAAATCTACAATATCTATAAATTGTTTTATATTTTTAACCTTCATTAAATGTAATTACCATTGCCTTATATCATTGTCAGGTGCTGGGGCCTTCAGGAGCTGTCTGGCCTAGTCGTTTACCTTCAATTATAATGTCCGACGCCTTCTTCATCGTAATTATAGGGCTCCTGTCTGAAATATGGTGGCCCTTGCAGTTAGCGTTGTGGGAACTTTAACTTTTGTTTTACTTTCACTAATTGAACCAATTGGGGCCACACAAGCACCAACACATATATTATAGGCATTCATATATCTTTCCCTATGCCTGAGAGCCCCTTGCAATATTTATGGGCATATATTGATTAAATAATTAGGCCTCTGCAAGAGACCAATTCACATGGATATAAATGAAATTTATGTCAAATACCAGGATATATACATTTTTGCACAAGCAAAGGCTGCTTTTTTACTTTCATTTCATTTGATAAAGCAAATTGCACAGTCTGGGTGAGCAGAGCGACTTAATTAATAATTTATACGCTGCTTGTTAACACTTTTTTCACTACTACTTGTTTTTCGCTGTTTTTCAACATTTTCTGTGTTTGTTCCCCCTATTTTCATTTTTGTTTTATTTGTCGGACACAGCCCCAGGCTCACGGAATAGGGTTAAGTTTTTGAGTCAGACTGGGATAGACAAAGTGAATAATAAAGCTATAGCCAAAGTAGAGCAGACTCGGGCGAAGTATGTGGGAAAGGGTAAGAGTAGCAGGGAATTTTGTGGGATTTGGTTTGTGGGTTTTCCATAAATAAAAGAAATTGCTTAATAGATGAAAGGTTGCAGAAACAGTGATTTCAGGACTCCTCATTAAAGATAATAAAGTACCACTCGCTTTTTTGAACAGATACCAATATACTAAATTAATGGCGTCAAGCTTTCAGATAAAAATAACAACAAATCAAAAATAAAACAAGAGAGAACGCTATAGTCGGGTGCCCCGACTATCAGATACCCGTTACTCAGCTAAAGGGAGTGCGAAGGAGATGGAGAAAAACTTTCATCCGCCGTAAATTTTTAACGAATGGTCCGATTTAAAAAATTTCTTCTACATTTCGATAGGTATTGATAAGCACAATAAAACTGCATTTTTACTTTTCCAAAATATTGAACTTTTTAAAATTGTATATAAGCGATTGTGGGCGTTAGAGGGGGCGTGGCACCCTTTTGAAACCAACTTGCGCTGCGTAGGAACTCCTAGAATCTGCACGCAAAATGTCAATCTTCTAGCTTTTATAGTTTCCGAGATCTCAGCGTTCATACAGACAGACAGACGGACAGACAGACGGACAGACAGACAGACAGACAGACAGACGGACAGACGGACAGACGGACATGGCTAGATCGACTCGGCTAGTGATCCTGATCAAGAATATATATAGTTTATAGGGTCGGAAACGCTTCCTTCTACCTGTTACATACTTTTACACGAATCTAATATACCCTTTTACTCTACGAGTAACGGGTATAAAAAATCAATCGCGGCTTTCAGCAAATCGGCAATTTTAATTTTTATAAAATAAATAGTACAATTAATTCATAATCCGTGTTGGTCTATACGTTGATCATTACTTCCAATACTTCGGACTGACTTTCCAGCTTTTGTGTTTTAGGCGAAACCTTTAAAAATAATTGTCGAAATATGGATGCAGAATGACATTAAATGTAATGATTAAAAAGTAAACAAATGATTTTTTTGTTTATACACATTTTCAAATTAAAACCCACAAATTAGTGATAATTTGGTAAAATTATTATTCAAAACTGAATACACATAGTTGTTTGTATTTAATTTTATCACGACAACCGTAAGTACTAAAACTATTTCACAATTTATGCAATTAAGTGGCTGCATTGCGAATCGCGGTGAAATGTATGCTTTTATGTGGCTTTCATTCCCATAAATACATTAATGGCACTTTTTGCTCTTTCAGTCAATTCACCTCGGGTGCCAGCGGAGTTCATAGTTCATGGCGCGGAGAAAGCCGAAAGTCGCTTACTCACATATTGATGGATATTTATGGCGTTCGTGGCTGGAAAGCGGAAAAGCTTCAAAATACGTGCATGATTAAAATCCCCGCGGGAGCACACGGATATGCGGATATGGCCAGCGGACATGGCTCAATCAAGCCAGCCAAATAGCCAAGGGCGGCGAGGGCATCTAAATTGGCTTTGTAACTGTTTGAATTTGTTTATCCAGCATTTTATTTGGCCACATCTGCGGGGCAGCGGAGATTGCTGTTGCGGGGTCATCTATCGATTTTCCCAACGAAACTCTGGCTATTTTAATGCTGCGTTTTTTTCTCATTGCCAAATATTTGCGCCTATT